CCCCTAGGACCTTGGGGGGGTCACCCAAATGCTCTGAGGAGCCTGGCTGCACCCCCAGTCCACCTCTCAGGGGATCAGCCCCGACCCTGCGGTGCTGGGCCCACGGAACGCGGTGACGGCACTGTCCTCAGCCCCCCGCACCCACCCCACCCCCCCCCCCCCCCCCCAACCTCCGAAAGAGCTCTTAGCTGCTGGTTATGGTGGTCTCCAGTATCACGCTGTTACTAGATTTAAAGGGGCCTTGGTTCCTGTGTGAGAGAGAGAGGGGTCTGGGAGCAGGCTGAGGAGCCTGACTGCCTGGGACCCCCATGGAGCTGCCTGTGCCACAGCTGTGGTCCCCCCCATGCCCTTCCCAGGTGAGATGATGGGTCTCTCCACCCTCCCTGACGTGCTGGTGGGGGAGATTTGTGCCTGCCCCCATGGGTGATGCAGCCCATGGAGTGGCAGCGAAGCCCTCCTTGGTGGTGCACAGGTTTGTGCAGGAAGGTAAGGCTGGTTCACCACAGGGTGCAACAAGCTGCAGAGATGGAGCACACAAAAGAAACTCCAGGAAAGGAAAAGATCCAGGCTTGACAGAGGACAGAGGTGAGATTTTTAAAGTTAAACTCGCCCTGCAAGAACGAGATAACGATGTGGAGCTGACTGTAATACTTTTCAGGTGACCTATGTATTTGATTCACGGTTAAAGGCATGGGGGCCAAGGGAGGGAGTATACTGGGGAGACTGCATGAGTAAATAACCACTGATTGCCAGGAGCTGTTCAGCAGAGAGATGGGGACTGGACCGGTGAGATTAGAGATGATACCTGCATCCCTGCTGCTTCCAGAGGAATTGTGAGTAATGAGAAGTGATGAACTGGCCTGTAGGAAGCCTTCTGCTGAGTAGAGGGAACTCATTGCTGGACAGGGTGGCCTCTGAGCTTGGGTGCTTGGATTAAGGCTGTCAGGAGAGGGATGTGATGCTTTCAGTGGCGGTGGCAGCGTGTGGAGTGGTTCCTCGTCTCCTGCTGCAACGCAGGCTCTTGCCATGGAAAGCTCTTTGTTCGCGCACAAAAGGAGTGTGGAACAAGCTGAGCTCTGCCTGCCCGCTGATGGCAATGACGAGAACAGGTTGTTCTCAGAGAAGGGTATTTCCAAGTGAAAGGGATGTTTTTTCATTGCTCCCAACATGTGGAAATGGCAGGATAAATTATAGGGGGAGTAGCACGCTTAGAAAACGCTGTGGGAGGATCGCAGCCTCCTACGTGGCTGCTTCACCACACGCCAAAGACCTGCTCCTGCCACCAGCTCCCGTAGCTCACGTGGGCTCTGCTGGGGCTCAGCTGGTGGGTCCCAGCTCTGGGCACATTGGCTCACTTGGCACTGGCCACGGTGCCAGCAGCGCCGTGGGGCGTCCCCCGGTGCAGCCCTGCGCTGCAGACCTTGCCAGAATTAGTTTTGTTTCTTATTGCTGGTTCTAATTAGCTCAGGGCGAGAAATAGACACTTTTTTGTTATTATTTTTTTCCCTTCAGGCTCTGAGTAGAAAGTATTTTCCAAGTGAGACATGGAGCCACTGGGCTGAGCTGTGGAAGGAAGGAGCGGGGTCCCCAGATGAAGGGGGCAGAGGTGTCCCCATCCCTGCAGAGAAGCCCAGGTAGAGCTGGGCTCTCAGTGGCTCTCAAATCCTGGGCATGGGCACCCTCCCTGCACACGTGGGCTGCAGGGCCCCACTGCCTGCAAACCCTTGGGAGTTTGATCCTCCATGGGATGGGGCAGGACCTGCCACTGGCCAGCTCAGATGCAGGATGTCGCAACCCAAACTGTGGCAGGCGTGTGAGAGACTTTCCCGTATCCCTCAGCCAAATTATCTCATGGAAACATTCCCCTGAGTGATCACTGCCTCTGGACATGGTTTTGCAGGAAAAGCAGGATGGTGTAGACTGGGGCGGGGGCTGCGGGGTTAGCCCACTGCCATCAGAGCGCGGTCTCTGGGGCAATGGGAACAGTTTGGGGCTCTCTCCCGGAGCACTGGTCCCCTGGGACTCCACACCTGCCTCTGGTTTTCTGCCCAGGTCACTCACAGCCAGCTTTAATACCAGGTCCTGTGTCCTCTGCTCCTGATGTGTTTTGGCAGAGAAAGTTCATTTCCTCCTTTGTGTACGAGCGGAGCAGCTGTTTCCCATTGCAGCCTTTCTAGCAATAGCCTGAATAAATGATACCCTTCCAGCCCTGTCTCACCAGGCAGCTTTTACGTTTACCTGATTATCCTCATTATCACAGCCTGGACTTGTTCCTGGTTCAAAACCACCCTCCTGACAGTGAGGGACCAGAGCAGAGCATCGCTTCTGGGTCATTCTTCTCGTGCCTTTTCCAGCGGTGCTGGTGCTCTGATAGACACTATCTCTGCTGTGAAGACTTGTCAGGTTGCATTTGTTTTGTTGCAGTCATCCCAGGGTTCCCTAAAAGCCAGATATTTTTCCTATGGTGTTTTCAGCTGCTTAGAGTAGCAATTTTTGCTGTTAGTCCCTAAGCATATGAACTTGTGCCAGCCCATTGTATTTCTGTCGATCTTCGGATCCTCTGTTTCTTCTCCTGCAGTACTTAGTCCCTTGTCCAGTTCAAAACTTTTCCCAAGTTTCTCACCACTACATTTTTCTTAGAGAAACTCCCATTTTCTGAGCCAAGCTCACGAATGAAAACCATTAAATAAAATTTATCTCTAGGCTGATCTTTAAGAAACTCTATTAATAGCTTCTCTGGAGCATTAATGATCCTTCCATTGTAATGTGCTGTTGTCTCCCCATTAGCCTCCTTACAATTTTCATAGTAATTTCTGCCTGAATAGATATTTTCTGCTCTGTTGCAGCCCATGTTTGATTTGATCCACCGTGTTCCTATTTAAAGTGGCAATTGTCTCCTCTGGGGAGGGGGCTGAGGTTTATCGATGGGAAATTTCGGTTGCATTTTACCCTTTTATTCCTCCTCCCTATCTTTCAGCATCCTTTCCTTCAACATCTGTCTATCCCAGCACTTTGTGCACTTTTGCAGCAAGACTAATGGGATGCAGTGCCTGCTCCGGCGGTGTAGGTAATACATTTGCTGCTCTCTGTTTATGTGCTTCTACTTCTGGCGTAATAGGTTTTTTTAAAAAATCTGTTAAAAGCCTAGGTACATTGGCACTACAAGTGGATACATGGGCAGAAAGGAGCACTCAGCGGGTGCCTGAGTGTGGCAACCTGTTTTTGGGAAGCGTTTCCCACCACCTGAAAGGGCACCGACAGCGATGGTTGGGGGCTCAGGAGAAGCTCCACATGAAGCATTTTAGCTCCGACCTGGGAACAGGACGGCTCTGCTTTCAGGCAGACCTGAAATGTCACTCTGCTTCCTGCATTAGCTTCTTTCTGAGCAAAGTGCTGGCAGAAGTCAGTTCGGAGCAAAGAAAATTCCCTGGCCCTGCAGAGCTTGCAGCAGAGTCAAGGGTTTTTCTAAAATTATGTTCAAGTGCTTCCAGAGATTAAACATCTGTTCAAGCTGAGAGAGGTATTTCAGCCAAGGCTGCGAGATGGGCAGCAGGGCAAAGATTTCTTCTGGTCTGAAAGAGGATGTTTGAGGTTCGATGGTGGGGAGCAGGCAGGGCTGGGAGCTGCAGGGACCCTGGCAAAGGGCTTTTTCGATCCACAGCCAGAGCCATGAGTCTGCCTCACAACAGGACAAGACCAAATTTGGCCGAGTTAAGGCTTGAAGGTGACGTGAGAGGGGACAAATGTGAGAGTGGTCAAAAACTACCTTCCCCTGCTGTCCACAGAGGGCTTTGGTGAGGTTGTGGGGTTGTTTCCAGTTTATGAGCAGCCTTCCTGGAAGGGCTGTGCTCCTCCCCACACCTCCCATGCGATGCTGCACCCCATAGCATCCCCCAGAACGCCTCTCAGTTGAAATCTCAAAGGCAGAGCCCCTTTGTAAACTCTCTGTGTCTCTGAGGCCGTGGGGGGACACGGAGCTCCTGTCTGGCTGCATCCCCAGACGCTTTTGTCCCTGCTTCTTGGTCTCTGGAACCTAGTGCCCTCTCTGCCCCATCCCAGCTTGAACCCTGACTGATACACAGCAGCAATTACTGCCTCTGGTGTGAGCAGAGAGGCCCGGGGGAGGCAGGACACAATTCCCATCACAGCCACTAGCCCCCAAAGCATACTCCCCAGGAGGAAAAGGGCTCTGTGGGTAAAAGCGAGTTTGGGACTATTGAAAGTAGAAAACCTGAAAAGATGTGTGGAAAGCAGCAGAGCAGTCAGCATTTCAAAAGTTTGCTCTGCAGCGCGTCTGGGAAAGGTGAAACTGAAACAGAAGTGTTGGGCTCAAGAGCGTGCTTAGAGCTGCGTGAGTTCCCAGTAGATGTCCCAGGGTTCAGCCTCCTGCTGGAGCCTGTTCTGGATGGAGGACAGCAGGCACTGTGTACCCCTGAGGGCTACCCACCCCCCCTGTGCCAGTGGTACCCTGCCCCACAGAGCCAACTGTGCCCCTGGATGGGGCAACCCCTGCTCCAGCTGATGCCCACCAACTGCTACCCAGGAGGGCTGGGTGGAGGGGCTGGGGTGCTCAAGAAAGGGCTCGGGCAGGTCGGAGCAAGAAGTTGTCTTACAGCAAACCTTGTGGTGAGGTTGCTCGAGCAGAGATGCTTCATACCTGCAGATGCTTAGGCAGGGCAGGGCTCTGCCTCTGTGCCCTGGGCACCCTCCACCCACATCCTCCCCCTGACCCTGAGGTTTTTGGTTCCAGTAATCCCCACCACCAATGGCCTGCAAAAGTCCCCAAACTGGCCTTTGCTCCGGGCACAGCAGGATTGTCATGACACAAGGGTCTGATGAGCAACAACACCCTCTTGCCCTGACCTAGGTGGCCCGTTGCGGGGTGCTTAGCACACCCCAGCTTCGGCGAGGACCCTCCAACCCCTCCAAGATCTCACCTAGAAAGTGATAACAACCAAGCGAAAAGTAAGGCAAAAGCTTTACCTGGGAAAGGTGCTGCTTTCCCACAGCCCCCGAGCAGGTGGGAGCCCTCGGTGGCTGCGCTGCCTCCAACTTTCCCCCGGCGTGCGTGGCTCAGTGTGTGAAGGCAGAAGCGTGTGCTGCGAGCGGTGGCTGCCTCCTCTCTCCTCTCTCCTCTCTCCTCCCTCCCTCCTCCGGCTGCCTCCTCTCTCCTCTCTCCTCCCTCCCTCCTCATACCATATCCAGGCAGCGCGGTGACTGCAACATGAGTCAGACCACAAAGTGGGTGGGATCTGAGCTGTGAACTCAGACACCGAGGTTATCATCCGGCAAATTTGAAATGCTGAAAGCGAGCCGTACTCATGGGCATGCGGTGTGCCGGGCTCTGCCGAGCCGTGCCAGGCGCAGAGAGGGGTGTGGGACGCCTGCTGCCTCACGCCGCTGCTTCTTTCTTGCTACCATCACCTTCCTCACTAACGTTAAGGTTTCGGGGCCCTTGCTGCTTGCTTGCCACCTGCAAAGCCTCCCTCCCGGGTGGCTCTCTGCTGCAGGCAAGCACTTGCCTGCTGCCGGGTTGCCTGATGCCATCACTCGTTCCCAGCACAAACAATTGGTGGGAGCCCCCCCCCCGAGAGCAATCACATCCCAGCCTGGAGCTGGGCAGTCCGTGATCCACAGGAAGGATCCAGGTTCTGGGGTCACACTGGGGAGAGATAAGGAAAAAGAGAGGGGGAGATAGCTGCAAGGCGGGAAGAGGAAGCTGGAGCCCAGCCAACGCGGGGTACAAATTTGCTCCTTGAGCCACTGAAGGCAAGAGGAGAAGCCCACGCCGATGTGCTGGGGGTTCTGCACCCATGGCCGGGAGAGGCTTCATGTGCTCCTGGCCGGTGGCAGGGATGCTCCAGGCTGGGTATTCCCGCAGGGCTACGTTTGCCTCTGCTGAAATCTGTCTCCTGCACGTGTGACGGCAGGGAGGAACCACACCAAATGATAAACAGGCAGTGACAGCCTTTCGTGTCTCTAAAATCTTTCATCTGTGGGTTTCAAAGCGCTGCGCGAATAGCAACTGCCGGGCCAGCTATGTGAGGACCTGTTTCCCCTTTTAGCTCTCCCTCTCGAGCTGAGCAGGTCGTGGGCTGTCAGCAGGACTCTAGTGAAGCTCGGCCACCCCCCTGGCTCTGCATGGCCTGGGCAGAGCGATGCATTGCAAGTGAGGTGCTTCAGTCCTCACCAGCCACTTCTGAGCCCCCCGAGCAAATAGCCTGGGACGGACATTAAAGTCTGGATGTGGCCCTGGGCTCCCCAAGCTGAATGAAGGTGAATTCTGCTGTTCTCCAAACCAGGCTGAGCTCCCCCAATGCCCTGTGCCGGGAACAGAGAGCTCATCCCAGCCTCCATCTCTGCCAAATGGGGCTACTGGCAGCACTGGCACGCAGACCAAAGTGCCTTTGATGTGTTTATCTCTGCAGACCAAAGTACAGATCTATCTTTAATAAGCTTATGATCTGCTGAAGCCAGGGAGTTTTCCTGCTGATCAGCAGCCTTGTGATGTGTCTGGGTAGCAGAGCCGTGGACCGGCTGCTGGGAGCTTCTCAAGTGGCTGGTGTGTGCGGCGTGTGCCTGCGGAGGGATCCCTCCTGCAAAGCGAGATTCAAATCTGGTCAGGAATGTCTGCGTCAGCTAAAGTCGCTTGGGATGTTGCTTTATTCCAGGGCCCCTCGCTTGGCTCTGCTCTAGGAGGAATTTTTCATCTGGAAGTCTCAGAATGGGAAGCACCATATAGGGATAAAGCGCTCTGGTTGTTGGAGCAGGATCCCTTCTCCGGATCCTTTGCCCTAACTCATCCCAATAAAATCCATCCTTTTCCTGCCTGGAGACAGGAAAGCCCCTCGGGGCAGGCTCTGACCCCAGCATGCTCCATCTTCCCAATGTCTCCAGGGAGCTTCCAGGGTTCAAACTCTCACCCGGCTTCATCAGCCCCGGCGGGCAGCCAGCAGAGGGGAATGGTTGCGTTGTTCCCCCTACTGCCTCCCCCAGCCACTGGGACCAGCACCCCAGCCCACAGCCAGAGACTGGGTGGCTGTGCCTGTCCCTGGGCTGGAACCCTCCGTCCCAGGTCTGCAGGAGAACATCGGGTGCAAGGTACTGGGGGTGCGGTGATGGAGCAGCCTTGGGCTTGCAGGGCCACCTGGGTCATGGGGAAACACACCATTTTTGCAAACCCCTTAGCACAGAAAATCCTCAAAATCCAACCCTGTGCAGTGTCTGGGTGACTATGGAGCTGCTGAGGGGCCTTATGGGCTGGTATGCTAGAGCTGAGTTAACTTAAGAACATAGCACTGGAGATGTGAGAAGTACCACCTGCATGGACCATGCAGTGAGGTGCAGGGAAGCAGCTGGACCTGCAGCCAAGAGGAGCAGTGCAGGGGCATTTCCACTGGCATGGGCTGCTGTGCACTGTAGAAGCAGCCTGGGAATTGGCAGATGTAATACCTGCAGAGGCTGTGGCTGGAGAATATCAGTGGTGGCAAGCTCCAAAAAGGAAGGAGGTACCTGAGACCATCAGGTGGCTGATCCTCATCATCCAATGGCTGATCCACCATGTGTGCCCGAGCAGCATGGCAACCTTGGCCCAGCTCACTGGCCTACATGGATCAGGCAGCAACCAGAGATGCTCATAAGCTGAGATATTTCCCAAGTGTGCTGTGGTGAACCATAGAGTGAGTCAGGAAATGTCAAGGAGAGGTCTGACATCTTCTCTGTGTGTGTGTAAAGCAGGGGTTATTAAAGGCTAGAGCAATGCTGGGAACTGGGAAAGTGCAAAAGAAGCCAGGAAGAGTCTGGGACTGCAGGAATAGGGATGTGAGATTTGGCAAACGCAGGAGCTCCTGAAAGCCTCAGATGGTGAAGTTCTGCCTGGAAGGTGGCAGCCAACTTGGGAGATCACATATGGCAGCTCAGCTCTGAGAAGGGCTCAGAGGTGCAGCTCTGTGCTGCTCTCCCCAGCCTGGGCTGGGTTTGGAAAAGCCAAAGGAAAAGGGGGAAGAGGAGTAAAAAGTATCTGGAAAACAAAGCATCCGGGTGCAGAGCAGCTCCTTGGGCAGTGCTGGCCGAGAGGAGTTGGCCGGGTGCCCCACTGGGTTTCAGAGACGTTTATATGAACTCTAGCAGAAGATCCTGGGTTGGGGAAATGGGACTTTTGCTGAGCTGCTTCCTCTGGAAAAATGAAAATTAAAAAGCCATGGAAAGGTCCTGACCCTGTGACAGACTGCTGCTCTTCCTGGCTAGATGGGAGAAGCCAGAAGCTTACTCAAATCATCCAAACACTTTAATTTCTAGTGGGTTATATACAGGGTGAAAATAAAAGACAGAGACCTCCTCGATGTGTTAATAAGCTTTTTTTCTTTTTTAAACAAATACTTCCCAGTGAGATCCTGTCCTGGACGAAATGGTAAATTATGACAGACATCTTTGATGTTCCCTGCCGGGGGCTGTGTAAACCAGAGCGTACTTGTGGGAAATAAATATTGCAAGGAAAGGACGTGTAAAACAACTGTAGTGAGTTCGACATGGGGACCTAACGGTTGGGCAAGGAACTGCTCCTGCCTGGAGACCAGGCAGCTCCCCAGGGCCGTGGGAGACCCTCGCTGGGCTTTGGCTGATCTCTGGAGCAACATCCTGCTTGAGTATATATTTTTGTCATGCTATAAATCCTGGCTATTCCAAGCATATTGCTATTCAAAGGCACCTTTCCCATACAAGGACACATGTACGGGAGAAGAAAAGGATGCTCAGGTCTTTCCCACCCTCTTGGTTGCTGCAATGCTGATCCCAAGGAGGCTTAGCAAGATCCCATCTGCTGTGATATAGTGTCAGACTATAGACACAGTCTGTGATATATTTCTTAAGCTTCACTTAGTGCAGAGAGAGGATGTTGGAGGTTTATTTCCAGGTTGCTGGTCTATTTGTGTTGTACAAAGCTCTCCAAGCTCTAACGAGGACTGAAGGGTGCTGGCTGGTGTGGAGCATCCTTCAGACAGTTGAAGGCCCACGCTTTCCAGTGTGTCCAAGGGCCAAGGAGGGTCCTCAAGTCACTTGAACACAGCTGTTCGTAAATTAAACTGTGCTCAGGAGGGAGCAGTTTGTATGACTCCAGCACAGGGTTTTTTCATCTCTCTGATGCACTATAAAGAGAAAAAGGAAAGGCTGGGGTCTGTGGGAGGAGGTGACAGTCATTCTCCCCCAGACCACAAGGCTGGGAGGGGAGAGGAAGCCTTGGCACAGTGTGCACCCATCTGCTGGTGTGCACCAGGCGTCCCCAGGAAGGGAGCAACTGGCTATGGCTCCGATGAGTGGGTCTTTTATGGGCTTTAGCACTAATCCTGGCAAATGCAATTGTGCATGTCCTTGTTTTCCAGATAAATATTTAATCCTCCTCCAAACACTGCTGAGATCATGGCCTGGGTGATATCTTGTGGCAGCAGGTTAATTTGGGGCTGTGCAAAGCTGTTACTCTCTCTGGGTGGGGAGGAGGCTGAGCCGCGGGTTGCTGTTGGTCCAGGAGGATGGGATGCTCTGGGCTGCAGCCTTGCCCAGACCACTCTCCGCGTTTTTGGGCCCTCTGTCAGGAAGGTCAGCCAATTTCTGCAGGAATGAGCTGCCTGCTTTCAAGTTGGGGCCAGTGAAGTCTGGTCTGTGTATACAAACACCTGCTCTGAGGCTCTTTGGGTGGTTTAGGACTTCTCAGGGCTGGAAGCTGGGCTCCTTCCCCATTGCCCAGACCACTCTCCGCGTTTTTGGGCCCTCTGTCAGGAAGGTCAGCCAATTTCTGCAGGAATGAGCTGCCTGCTTTCAAGTTGGGGCCAGTGAAGTCTGGTCTGTGTATACAAACACCTGCTCTGAGGCTCTTTGGGTGGTTTAGGACTTCTCAGGGCTGGAAGCTGGGCTCCTTCCCATCGCTTTGCAGGGAAGGGTTGCCTGGCTTGAGCCCCAGGTGCTTCTGAAGCATTTCCCTGTGAAGCTGGCAGGAGGTTGTGCTGCTGGGCACGGGGCAGGAACCAAAGGATTAGCAAAACGCTCCCCTGCAGCGGGACCACCATGGGGCTGGCAAGGAGGACAGAGCTCGGTGCGTGGCC